ATCCATGTGACCTTCAGTTCTGTTACTCATGGAAGAATGACGGCTTTCAGAAAGACATTTACTAACTAAAAACCTACTTACTTTAAAAATGTTAAAAAAAAATTTAACCGTTGTTCAACTAATCAACATAATCAACAGAAGCCAGACTCAATACGTGAAAATTAAAGCCTGATTTAGAAAGATCAAGAGAAAGAAATTTTAAAAACTACAACCTACAGTCTCAAATATGGCTGAGCATGAAAACAGATGACGTCCAGCTTAGTTATATCATAATCCTCAACAAACAGCCATCAATTCTAAAACTTTTTGGTCTCAGGACCAAAATATATCCACAAAAAATGTAGACATTTTTATGTTTTTATCAATTATTGAGGACCTTAAACATCTTCTGTGTGATTTGTATCTACCAGTTCTCATATTAAACATAAAAAGAGAAATTTTTTAAATATTAATTTAAAAACAATAAAAAACCTATTTTGTGAACATAACTTTTTTTTTAAAAGACTTATTTGGAGAAAAGAGTTGCGTTTTTTAACTTGCAAATCTCTTACTTTCTGCTAGATTCTCATATGTGCGTGTGCATTTAATTTAATGCAGTATTGCATACTGAGTGGCCTCCAGAGACTCCACTGACACTGTGAGAGAAGGCGAATGAAGAAGGAAAATAAGTCTCAGTAACATTATAACGTTTTTTTTTTAAAGAGAGTCTCTGTCACCCAGGCAGGAGTCCGGTGGTGCGATCACAGCTCACTGCAACTCCATCACCTCCTGAGCTCCACGCCCTCCTACGTAGTTGAGAATATAGGCATGTATCAGCACGTCTGGCTTTCTTTTTGTTTTTTTTTTTTGGAAAGATAGGGTTTCTTGAACTACCAGACTCAAGCGATCTACCCACATTGGCCTCCTAATGTGCCAGAATTACAGGCATGAGCCACCATGCCTGACCACATTATAAAACAGTGTATAGAGAAGAAAACAGAGTATCAGTTTCCGCTCTGGACCATACTTTTGAGAATTGCTGTTACCACTGTTAAAACAAAATAGAAGGAGGCCAATTAGCTTAGGGTTGCTTCCACACCAGGAACCCTTATCCAACCATACCAAAATTTAACTTAGAGAAATCCCTTGTAATTGATTAATTTTGGAAACAAACAAACAAAAAGCAACTAAACTGAGTTTCAGCCAATCACAAATGTAAAACTAGCTGGATCAAACCCAAATAAGGCAAACACCTAGCTGCAGTCAATCAAGTAATTCCTTTACTTTGCTTCTGCAGTCAGCCTATAAAAGTCTCTGGCTCACGCTGCTATACTGAAGTTCTCTGAATCGCTTCTGGTTCTGAGTGCTATCAGATTCATGAATCCTTCTTTGCTCAAATAAACTCCATTAAGTTTATTCTGTCTAAAGTTTTTAACAACACTCTGAAGTATCCTGCTTTATAGATGAAGAGAAGATCTCATCTTCAATCATCACAGGCACTGGACACATAAATGGGAAATCGGAAAAATCTTTTGTTCAGACACAGCTCCTTACTCAAGCAAATAGCTTTGAAAGCCATAGGCTATGCTATTCTCCAAGCCTGCAACTATGTGTTCACACAGCCTAACTGCAGTTCTGAACTTCTGCCTCAATACCTCTGACATCTGAAGGTAGCGTGGCTCATTCATGGATTTCCAGAAGATGGGGAGTACTTTATCTCTGTGAACTTGCAACTACAATATTATCTTGTAGAATAAGTGTTCGTTTCCTAAACAAAATGGAAAAAGTCAATTGTGTTACAAAATTGACTCTCAAGATCAAGGCCATCTACCAATACAAAGGACAATGCTTTACATGCTATAGGACTCCTTTCCAGAAAGTGTGGGATCAGTGAATATAAATTCATTTAATACTGGCTTAAACTAATAGTTACTAATTAAAACTAGTCAACTCACTTAGGGGGAAAAAAAAAGCGACCAGCCCAAAGACAAACTTAAAACTTTCAGGTATCTGTACCATTTTATGGAGAAATGAGTTAGCATGTAGTGTGTAAGTCTGTATGTGTGTGTGAGGGAGAAAATGGACAGAAGAGAACAGGTTGTTTTGAGAAAGGTGATAATCATGTAGTCTTCGTATGTGAATATAAAAAGTCTTTCGTTCTTTCCCAACTCTCTGAAGTTGGCTGTGTAAGTGGGTTGAAGGTGATGGTAGGGAAGGGAGATTTGAAGGATCTCCCTTAAGTAGCTGTAACTGTGGGCAAGCCACAATTTACCTCATGTAACATAATGGGGTAACATTAGGTCAGTGATTTAGGGCCAAAAAGAATCATCTAAGAAACTTCAGAAAGATTTCTGAGTCCTTTCCATGGAGGACAAGAAGTTTGATACTGGAAGTTTGGTGTGAGATACAGATTTTTAACAAGCACTCTTAGTGATTCTAATGTTGATGGACTGATGATTCCACTTTGGAAAACTATTAACAAATGATCACCAAAATTCCTTCCAACTATAAAGTACTGGTGAGAGACCCCAGATCAGTGATTCCCAAAGTGCAGTCTGTAGGCTTCTAAAGAGCTCCTGAAATGCCTTCAGGAGGTTTTAAGTTCAAAATTATTTTTGTAATAACATCATTTGCATTTTTCACTACATAGACATTTGTATTGATGGGTAAAAACAGCTCATAATAGCCTAACCACAAATCAAGGCAGTGGCACTGATCAACAAAAAAGGCCAGTTGCATTTAAGAATGTCTTCAATGGAGAAGTAAAAATTATTAATTTCATTAAATCAGCTTGAGAACCCATCTTTTTAAATTAATGCAAGACAAAATGGGAAGAACATGTAAAGTACTTTGGCATACTGAAGTGTGAGGTTGCTTTTTTTCATGCAATACCATTTTTACTTCAAAGAATGACTGGCAGATAAAAAATAGTTATTCAACATGAAAATCTGGCAGGTGTTTTCCCAGAATTGAATAAAGTGACCCTGACATTTCAAAAAACCCAACAGTATTTGTTGCCAATTCTAAAACTTAAGCTTTATATCTATATATATTCGGAACATTTTCACTGTCATCAGAAGTTTGATATTAATTAAAGACTTTTCTGATGAGATCGCTGATGCTATACAACTGATACTAACATATAATTTTTGGATACTGTATAAAGAAATGTGTCAATATTTGGAGCTCCAAATAATTCAATAAATCAACACTTTCCAAAAAGCCAATATATTATGTTATAAAGTCATGCTATAAATTCTTATTATCAAATTTGTTCAAAGTACGGGATAGAACAACACATTTTAATTTAATATAATTCAAAAATTCATGGATACAGCTTGAGATTCTACATGACAACTGTATTTTAAAACACCATCAAATTCTGGTATAGTGTCAAAGAAGAATATCCCAATTATTTTAAAAGGCTGTTAAAATGCTCCTCCATTTTCCAATTATAGTCTCAGTGAGGTCAGGTTTTCTTCATATGCTTTAGTCAAAACAACTTACTGCAGCAGTTTGAATGCTGATATGAGAATCCAGCTGTCTTCGATTAAGTCAAACATTAAACAATTTGCAAAATTTAAAAAATACAAAACACTACTATCTTTTTCATTAAATTAAAACAGTTATTTAAAAATAAATACTTTCTCATGTGATAAACATTGATAGATATAACCCATGTGAACAAAAGCTCTCCGGGGTCCTCAACAATTTTTAAGAGTGCTAAGGAGACTTGATACTTAAGAAGTCCCAGATCTCAGTCATGTGAGGAGCCCAGACACAGTAATTAATGAAAAACTCCATCCGACGAGTCTTACACATATGGCCAAGTTTAAAAACCACGGAAAGTAGCATTTGACTGTGGCTGCCTCACTTGGAAAAGCTGTTCCTTGGTGTCCCCTAGTGGTTCATATGCTTTTGTTTTTTTAAATTAAAATCAGAATAAAGGAAGACCAGGAATTGAGGAGAAACAAAATACTAATTCTGTAAGGGACTCCAGAGATCATGTAGTTCAACCCCCACTTTATCAGTGGAGACAGACAGCATGCAGACATCATTACACTAGAGCACAAAAAATGCGATGCTATGCTTTGGGTGAGTACAGGATATCAAAAAGGCGTACAGGAGGTGGCATCTGTTCCAGACTTGGTAGTTAGGCCTCCAGAGACAATTGCTTTTGAAATCTGAATAGAAATTGAAGGAGAGTAGCACACTCAAAAGGAATGGGAAGTACCAAAGCTCAAAGATAAAACAAGCCATGATTTGCTCAATAGAACAGAAAACAATTTTAAGAGCTTGACAAGTACCAGGTGCTGTGCTAAAGCTCATTACATTATCTCATCTAAGGCTCACAAAAACCCGATGAGGTACTACCCCTCAATCAACCCTATAAGGCAACGGAGAGTAGACATTTACAGTTTTATTTATTTATTTTTAAAAATTTTCTTTAGACTTTTTTGAAAAGCAGCTAGCTTTACAAAGACTTGATCTTTGGAAAAACTTACCCAAAAGCACAAAAGCTGCTTCTATGTTTTTAAAAGGATTTCCTCAAAATTGCTTTAGAAGAATATGGAAGAACTGGTTTGGATGTCTTATAAGGTCCTTGGGATAAGTCAGGGAGAAATAAAGCTCTTTTAAATTTAATTAAACTGTAGATTATCCTTTAATTACAAAGTAGAGCTAAGTAAATGCTCTGTAACTGCCTTTCCCTTTTCCTAATTTCTCCTTTTAAAATGCAAACCTTGCATGGAGCCACTACGATTATAGTCCACAGGGTAGGAGCTCTGAAATCAGACCTGTATCTGAATCCCAGTTTCACCACATCTTAACTGTGACCACTGGTAACTTTCTTAACTTTGAGTGTTTGCACCTCCAAAATGGGGGCGGTATCTTCCTCACTGATCGTCATAGAGAATGAACTGGAATGCGTTATTTGTGCATGTAGCTCCTGCATCAGATGCAAGGCCCCTTTCTTGTTTCTGGTACTCTTACTATCTAGCAGCTCTGGAGGGCGGTCTTACTTTCTCTGATGCTGCTTCTGCAGAGCTGCCTCTGATAACTGTCCCTGGAGGATCAGTTTTCTTTGCTTGTCAATATCTCCTTCCATCCGAGCAAAAGCATGAGAGCCAATGAAAGACAGATCAACTCCCAAGCCTTCATCCTCCTCTTCTTGGTTATCTGTAACAAAAATGCTACTATCAATAGAGAGCTTATGCTAAAACTAGACAGTAAATAAAACACATTGTGAATGCTGCAGTAGGGACGACAGTGAGAACTCAAAAAAGTGGGGTTAAGGTTATTTTTGAGAACGAAATTGTAATCAGATTTAGGCATTTGTAAAACTGAAATAATGAAAGACACTGCCTGTCCATGCGTGACAAAGGTTTCAGCAGTATGTGAAATCAAATCAGGGTGACCTGGGTCTTAGGAAGAAAAGAATAGAATGTGGTTACACACAAAAAGACAGAAGTAATTAGATTGTATTCGGGCCTAAAGATGGCTCATTGCACAGCATCTGACAAAAAATAAGTATAAAAAACAAGCATTTGGGAAGGTTTATTCAGCACTGTTGAAGGAGAAAGCATTTGATTGCATGAACCCCAGCCCTTCTGTCAGCTAACATCCCAAGATGAATGTACCAGGATCAGAGAGTATAAACCACATTCCTTAAGAAATATTTCAGTTATAATTTAGCACCCTGGTTTTCTACACTGGTCATACCAACACAGTGATTTTGGTCCATAAGAGACATAGTTCTCACTACAAACTAATATATTAGCTTTCTAATCTATCCATACAATCACTATGAGTTGGATTAGCAGAAATCAGTCTCTTGAGAACAGACGATCTCTTATGCCTTGGTAGATCTGTTAAGCAAAAACAAAACAAAACAAACCTTGTACCATGGGGAACCTCCCAAGGTAATGCCCGCACTTGAATTCCAACCCGGGGACAATCAGCTGGAATTTCCCCACATCTACTTCACTGCTCCTCAAACTGACAGGCCAATAGCTTGGAAGGGCCTGCTTTAATTAAAAACACCCCTCAAGTAAAGCTTGATTATATATATTTTAACAGATTTAACATTCTATTTGAAAATATTTAAGAACACTAAGGCCTGTAATATAAAAGTATTTTCTGAGATATGAATGCAAATCCAACACTCTGAGAATGGTGGAGGGAAGAGAATCTTTTAGCAAATGAGTTAGTCTTATCTACTGTCCGGCGCTCAAAGAGGTTTTGCTGTTCATCATAATTATCACACTAAATGCATTTTATGAACGAAAAATTTTATGGTAGTCACAGGCATGAGGATTTCTAAACAACTCTTGGCATAATTTCAAGGATATATCATACTGGAGGCTCACCCAAAGTGCAAGCGTACCCCTTCAGCAAAGCTTGGTTTCCAGACATTTCATCTTTTCTGATGCTAAACCACTTATAATTCACTCCACTTGATGAAAGTCTAGGCACTGGTGTAAAAATCTTGAGTTGCTTCCTCAAGATTCTGGCTTGATGCTCAGTTTTAAAAGAATTGTTCACACTAGGAATTTCACAGTAATTCCTTAAGCTGCTGGATGTCAAGATTCAGTCCCAGCACTGAAGCCCGTGAGGGATGCTTCTGCAGAAGGGACTTACAACCTTCAGTATGTACACATGAACATCACTACAAGGTGCCACACAGAGCAGAAACAGAAGGGCCACCATCCTAACACATTCTACATGCTGTTCCAACCTACAACAGTATATAACCCGAGGAGACAAAATGAATGGTTCTAGTATTCTTGTCTTAGTAGTTAATGTTAAACACGATTTTTAGAGGATATTGAAAGTCATTTAAAATGTCAGACAATAACGTCCTTTACTATCTCAACAGCGTCCTGCATGAAACTATAAGCTACATTCGGGTGAGAATATTGCTATAGCCACTTCTCAATCCCCACTGTCTAACACAGACTTGACATATATCTATCCACCTATAATTTTATTTTTAATTTCAAGCATAGAACTTGAAAACTTCTAAACTGGTCTTGACTGCGGTGTTAAGCTAATAGAGAGCTTTCCAAAGGTTAAGCTGAACTTCTTACCTCTTTGGTGGTTGGTGCCTTATTTTCCCTTCTTAACAGGGAGATTTAAAAAGTTAGAACTCCACAACTCACCATCTGGAGCACCAGGCTTTTCACTGATTCTGATCTGTCGTTCAGGCACCACAGGCTCCCCTTCTGCATTGCCAATGTCTGCAGGCAGGTACGGCAACGATCGATTCTCCTCCTTTAACGACCTCGGGAAGTACAGAGGTAGCAGCTTTTGGTAAGTAGCCTGTGTCAGAAAAGCAAGACATTCTGTGAAAAACAGGGTACAACAAAGAAAACCTCAGCAGCATTTAGTGCTGTTCATACACTGTGAGGATAACCTCCATTAAGAATAGACTTTACCACTGCTGAGCTCAGATTAGATACTGTCTGGAACCCTCAATCAGCTTCCGCATTAAAGATAAGAATATTATTATCTAGTCAAGTGAAATGTCATGCCCATCCTAACACTTCCAGGTCACTAAACCTGGAATGCATAAGCCCTGCCACTCCTGTCCCCATCCCTGCCTTCACTTCCTAATGGTAACAGTCCTTCAAGATCTAGCTCAAATGCTACTTCCTTAATCCTCAGTGTGCCCGCAGGGTCCATTCAGCCCAGGTGTTGTTTCTGAGTTGTTTGTGAAGGATTTCTCTTTCATGATGTTTATTCTTTCTTAAAAATGTTTCAAAGAACAAAGATTAATTTTACTTAAAAAAACAGAGTGAAACTTCTCTTGTAATTCCCATATTGACTGGTCCGCAGACTAATAAATCTGCAATACGTTAAAGACATGTAGTGCTCTTATTTATCCCGTATCTTGAAGCATGTTACTTTTTCATCATCCTAGGAATTGTTTTCTCATTACATAGAATTACTCAACAATTATTAAAAACTATACTAAAAAAGACTAAATTAAAATAATTAAAAAATGATGGAATCACCTAGGACAATAAAATCATTCAAGAAATCATTATCTTTCATTTTCATATTGTGTTACCCACAGCATTGCATCATCTTTTAAACATTTATATATATATATAGATGGAGATACCATCTTCATAGCCTTTTTTAAAAACTGAGATAGAATTCACATACCATAAAAGCCACCCTTTTGAAGTATACAATTCAGTGGTTTTTTTGGTTTGTTTATTTTCTTTAATTGGGGTATTGCTATGCTGCCCAGGCTGGTCTCAAACTTCTGGGCCCAAGCAATTTTCCCACCTCAACTTCCCCAGTAGCTGGGATTACAGGTGTACACTACCACACCCAGCTTCAGTGGTTTTTCATATAAAGAATTCACAAAGGGGATGTAATCACCACCACTATTTAATTCCAGAATATTTTCACCACTCTAAAACCCACTAGCAGTCATTCACCATTTCTCCCTTTCCCACCCCAGCAATTACTAATCTTCTTTCTGTCACTATGAATTTGTCTATTTTTGGACATTTCATAAAAATGGAATACAGGGCCAGGTGTGGTGGTTCACACCTGTAATCCCAGCACTTTGGGAGACCAAGGTGGGCAGATCACAAAATCAGGAGTTCAAGACCATCCTGGCCAATATGGTGAAACCCTGTCTCTACTAAAATACAAAAATTAGCTGGGTGTGGTGGTGCACACCTGTAGTCCGAGCTACTCAGGAGGCTGAGGCAGAGGAATCCCTTGAGGCAGAGGTTGCAGTGAGCCGAGATTACACCACTCCACTCCAGCCTGCTAACAGAGTGAGACTCTGTCTCAAAAAAAAAAAAAGGAATACAGTATGTGGCATATTGTGTCTGATTTCTTTCATTTAACATGATGTTTTCCAGGTTAACCCACGTCATAGGAGTTATCAGTACTTCATTCTTTTTTATGGTTGAATAATATTCTAACACATATGCACACACACACACACACATTTTGTCAGTTCATCAGATGATGACATGTCGTTTTTCTTTTTTTGAGACGGAGTTTCGCTCGTTACCCAGGCTGAAGTGCAATGGCGCGATCTCAACCTCCGCCTCCTGGGTTCAAGCAATTCTGCCTCAGCCTCCGGAGTAGCTGGGAGCACCACCACGCCCAGCTAATTTTTTATATTTTTAGTAGAGACGGGGTTTCACCATGTTGACCAGGATGGTCTCAATCTTTTGACCTCATGATCCACCCGCCTCGGCCTCCCAAAGTGCTGGGATTACAGGCTTGAGCCACCGTGTCCGGCCAGATGATGACATTTCAGTTGTTTCTACTTTTTGGCTATTATGAATGATGCTATTACAAATATTTGTGTACAAGTTTTTGTATGGAAGTATTTTCAGTTCTCTTCTGTATATACCTATGAATCAAATTGCTGCATTATATGATAAGTTAAACTTTTTCATTAACTGCCAGACTGTTTTCCAAAGTAGCTGCACCATTTTTACATTTCCATTAACTATCTATGAGCGTTCCATTTTCTCCATATCCTAACCAACACTTGTTATTACTGCCTCCTTTCATAATTATAACCATGTTAGTGGGTGTAAGTGGTATCCATGGTGGTTTTGACTTGTATTTTCCTAAAGGCTAATGGTGTGGAGCATCTTTTCAGTGCTTACTGGCCATCTGTATATCTTCTTCAAAGAAATGTATGTTAATTATGTTTAATTTTTCATTTTTTGTATTTTATAATGTTTTCACATCTTAAAAAGCTTTCTAGCCTGAGAAGACTCTCCCTGTGAGGGATATATCTTGCATATGCCAACCAACCAGTCCCAAATCTACAGCCCTAATCATTTCCTTACCTAACTCTTACATACCAAGCAAATATTTCTCCTGGTTTAAATCATCCCAGGGTCAGGTATCAGGAATCTAGAGATTACTCCTATAGCCCAGAATAATGGAATTATTCAAACTAGCCAGTCCTAAACTGTAAGTCCTGCCCTGCCTTGCCTTTCGCAAGGAAAACACAATAAAGGCTCTGGTTCAGGATTTCCTCACTCCTGCTTCTGCCTCCTGACTGAAACCTAGTGTTCCTCCTGTGGCCCTGCATAGCACCCACGCCTCTCTTTTACAGAGAAACTATACAAAACACTAAACTTTTCTTTCTTTCTTTTAAACAGTCTTTCTTGCCATAGACCTCTCTCCCTCCTCACCCAGTCACTTTTGTAAATTAAAACCTAGGCATGAAACAGCATGTCTGTTCAAAACTTTCGTTCACTTTTAAATTTGCTTGTCTTTTGTTGAATTATAAGAGTACCTAATTTATCCATTTGTATTTTGGCTGTTTGTGCTTTTGGTGTCATATCTAATAAACCACTGCCTAACCCACAATCAAGAAGATTTATATCTACACTTTCTTCTACGAGTTTTATAACTTTAGCTTTTACATTGAGGTCTTAGATTCCTTTTGAGCTAATTTTTGTATATGGTTTAAGGTAGAAATCCAACTTTATTCTTTTGCATGTGGATATCCAGTAGTCCCAATACCATTTGTGGAAAAGACAATGCTTTTCCTCATTAAATTGTCTTGAAACCACTGTCAGAAATTTGATTCCATTGACCTACACATTTATCCTTACGCCAGTACCACAGTCTTGATTGTTACAGCTTTGTGGTGAGTTTTGAAATTGGTAAGTGTGAATCTTCCAATGTTGTTCTTTTTTTCCAAGACTGTTTTGACTATTCTGGGTCTCTTGCATATCATACATTTAGGATCAACTTGACAATTTCTGCAAAAAACGAGTTGGGATTTTGATAGGGATTATGTTGTCTGTAATACAATGTAGGGAAAATGGTCCGTAAAGTCATCTTAACAACATTAGGTCTTTTAACCCGTGAACACAGATGTCTTTCCATTTATTTGTGGTTTTAAAAATTTCTTTCAAAGAGGTCTTAAAGTTTTAAATGTACGAATCTTTAAGTTTAGTTCTAATTATTTCATTACGTTTTGATGTTACTATAAGTAGAATTGTTTTCTTAATTTTTGTTTCTGGATTGGTCATTGTTAGCGTGCAGAAATACAATTTATTTTTGTATATTGATCTTACATTCTGTGACCCCACTGGAACTCTGTTAGATCTAACAGTGTTGTGTGTGTGTGTGTGTGTGTGTGTGTGTGTGTGTGTGTACTCTTTAGTATTTTTGGTAAGATCACGCTGTCTGCAAATAAAGGTACTTGTACTTTGTTCTTTTCAGTTTGGGTGCTTTTTCTTTCTTTCTCTGAGCCAAATGCCCTGGGGCTAGTAACTGTGGTAAAACATTGAATAGAACTGGCAAGAGCGAAAATCTTTGTCTTCTTCCTGATCTTACGCAGAAAGCTCTCAGTATTTTACCATTAAGTATATGAGCTAAGGATTCCCTTTTTCAAGTTGAAGAAGTTCTCTTTTATTCCTGGTTTGTTGACTGTTGTTACTAAGAAAGAATGTTGCATTTTTTCAATGTTCTTTTCTACATCTATTGAGACGGTCCTGTGGTTTTTATACTTTATTGTATTAATATGGTATATTACATTGATTCAGATTCTTGTATGCTGAACCAAGCCTCCATTCCTGAAATAAGTCCCACTTTGGGGTGGTATATAATTCTTTTATATGCTGTTAGATTTGGTTTGATAATTTTTGCATCTCTAGTCATAAGAGATATTGCTCTATGGTTTTCTGGCATGTAGTATATTTTTAACTTTACTGGACAGAGTTGAGAATTCCAAATTTTTCATCTGCAGTTCATAATATTAAAAAGAAGACAATTAAATGAAGAAAACATTTTGGAATCATTAAATAAATCAAAGATGAATGTAACGAGATAGCAGCCCTCTTAATGATGATCGTAAGATTTACGGTATAAGGTGAAGAAGTCTCAGACTCTGAGTCTTCAGACAGCAAGATTATCTCTCAAATTCAATAATCTGTGAGTTGATGATGTATTTTTTTCTTTTTTTGAGACATAATCTTGCTGTCACCCTGGCTTGAGTCAGTGGCACAATCTCAACTCACTGTAACCTCTGCTCCCTGGGTTCAGGAAATTCTCATGTCTCAGCCTCCCTAATAGCTGGGAGTACAGGCGACTGCCACCATATCCAGCTAATTTAAAAAAAAAAAATTTTTAGTGGAGACGGGGTTTCACCATGTTGGCCAGGCTGGTCTTGAACTACTGATCTCAGGTGATCCAGTCACTTCAGCCTCCCCAAGTGCTGGGATTACAGGCATGAGCTACCATGTATTTCTTTTTTTTTTTTTTTTTTTTTTTTGAGACGGAGTTTCGCTCTTGTTACCCAGGCTGGAGTGCAATGGCGCAATCTCGGCTCACCGCAACCTCCGCCCCCTGGGTTCAGGCAATTCTCCTGCCTCAGCCTCCTGAGTAGCTGGGATTACAGGTACGCGCCACCGTGCCCAGCTAATTTTTTGTAATTTTTAGTAGAGACGGGGTTTCACCATGTTGACCAGGATGGTCTCGATCTGTTGACCTCGTGATCCACCCGCCTCGGCCTCCCAAAGTGCTGGGATTACAGGCTTGAGCCACCGCGCCCTGCCTACCATGTATTTCTAAGGACAAAAGGGAAATCAGGTATTCTCAGTCAGGAAGTCATTCAACAAGAACAACTTAATCACATACTATTTTGTGATAGGAACCTGGACAGTCTCATTTTACTAGAAGGATGTGTGACAGTATTCTTTCATCTTTTATGTTTGTGCAACAGTATTTAGTTGACACAAAGAGGTTATGTTTAAATTCTTACTAAAATGTCTAATAAACTGGTTTTTCATTATCCCTTTATTCTTCTATAAATTATTCCCAAATAACTTTTGAGAAAAAGGTGGTATACTGAAGGCAAAGACTTACTCTCTGCTCCTCCAAATCTGGGTCAGGTGTCATGATAAGTTGCCATGGGACTGTGGGGCATACCTTAGCAGAGCATTTGCCACACTGTAGGGTGATCTCTGTTTACCTGGCTGTTTCAGCATTAGTCTGCGAACTCCCTGCAAGCAAGAGCCGTATCTCATTTGTATCCTATGCTATGAAAATGGACAAATCTCTAAACTAGACTTCCCCCCTCGGCTTCAAAGTGATCAGCACAACTTTCAGCCATTTGCCTTTGGCTTATCACTATATACTTACTGAGTTTCCAAGCAGACAAATCCTAATTATCACTGTCAAATATATACATAGATAATTAGGATTTGTCTGCTTGGAAACTCAGTAAGTATATAGTGATAAGCCAAAGGCAAATGGCTGAGCCTCTGCCCTGACAGTCCACTAATCCTCTAAGACGACGTGTTCAGAAAATAACCTGTCTTCATCCCATCTCCAAAACGGTTCCTGCCTTCTGTTTCTATCTCAGTGGTGGTATCACCATCTAGTAATTCAAGCCAAAAACCTACAAGTCATGTTTACCTCTTTTTCCCACATGCATTTAATCAACCACCAATTTACTTACTAAATATCTAAAATTTTAACACTACCAGTACCCTTGTTCAGGCCTGATCATTTCTCATGTGGAGTACTGCTACCGCCTGTTATCTTTTCCTGCCATTAGTCTTTCTCTTTCCAAATCATCCTCCACACAGCTAAAACAGAAATTAGATGACATCATTTGAGTACAGCTCTTTTCTCTCCCATTACTTAATTAATAAAGTCTAAATTTCACAGCTGGGGACACAAGGCCTTGAATGATCTTACCCCTATCTAACGTTCATCATCGCCACTGTGAGCCTCACACTTTATGCAACAGCAATACTAAACACTCTATGCTACATCTTATTTCCATGCCTTTGCTCAGGCTTGTATGACTGTTGTCACTTGCCTCTCTCCCTTGGCAAACCTTATGTACCTTTTACAATTATTTCAACTTATGTATCACTTCCTATGGGAGGCATTTCCTAACCCTATGCCAGGCTAGAGTTATGTCCTGTCCTTCCCATATCTCCATTAAGGCACTTATTACAATTATCCTAACTTCTCTGAATTATCTATCTCCACTAAAGAATAAAAGCTTCTTGAGGAAACGACCATTATTTTTTCACTGGCGTACTCCCAGGACCTAATAGAGTAAACCTGATACATGCTAAACACTCAGTAAAAGATCACTGGAAGACTCTATGTATAAATAAAGAAGATGAAACAAAGTAAATGTGCCCTTTTTTCAGCAAATTCAAAGTACATATATATTTTATACGCTTTGAATAGATAGTTCACTAGTAGATAGCTAATATGAATGTATTAGCTCATTTAATTATCACAAAAAACTGGATACAAGTACTATTAGTATTTCAATTTTACTGAAGCTGAAAAGTTAAGTAACTTGCTCAGTGATACAAAACTGGGAAACACTGTAAGCTGAATTAGACAAAGCACTCTAAAATTAAAGTGTAATGAGATAAGAATTAACTATTTTCTAGAATGGCTTGAAATTAAATGGAAATATATTAAACCTAACTACACATAATAAAATATACAAATCTCACAGTGCCAGCCACTAGGCTAGGCTGTCACTCGGTCAGCCAGACACCAAAGCTTTTCTGGCATGTTAGTTTTCCAGTTACACTCCCCAAACATGCAGTGCTTAGCAGGTGATGCTTTGAGAGCTAACACAGGGGCCAAGCAGAACAACTCTACTTTTTAAGATTTCACTTAGTGACAACAGTTTAGTCATAAAAAATATGAATATAATGCTCCTTCTTGACTTATTTTTAGTTTCCAGTATAGTCTTTTTCAATGAATGATGGTAAGTCCCACTGTCAAATATATACATAGATAATTAGGATTTGTCTGCTGGAAACTCAGTAAGTATATAGTGATAAGCCAAAGGCAAATGCTTAAAGGTAGAAATAAGATTTAAACAATGTAACAATTAGCAAAATACCTCTTCAAGATCAGAGACAGCAAATACTACTTTTTCAATGGTTTCCCCATGAATCTCTAGGAATCTCCTTACAGTGCCTAAAAAAAGAACAGAAAGATTACTCAATAACTAAAAAATTACTTACACATAAAAATCAAGCTCTTCAATGTTTATTTTTGTAAGGGATCACTTCTCACTTCATTCAGGACTCTGCTTAATAATACCTGTATAAAAACCCTTCTCTGATCTGCTTTCCTTCACAGCAAGTGGGATAGACATTTTATGAAGTTATTTGCATACTGTTATCCTCCCTGTCTTCTCCTCATTCGCTAGAATGAAAGCTCCATTACAGAAGAAGCTTTATTGGATTTACTGCTCTATTTCCAATGTCAAGAACAATGTCTGGCAAGAGAAGATACTGACAATTCTCTCTCATATAGTATATTATTCTTATTCCTTTCTTTGGCCAGAATGATTTAGCACGTCTTTCCATTCATCCAGTTACAGTATAAGATATCTTACCCAGCCTTTCATCCCTTGACAGAACTCCATAAATAAAGCTCAATTATTTTTTCTTAATTTCTATGTTATTCTAATTCTTCTGTATCAACTTCCTGATAGCAAGACCTACTGACCTTTACTTCAGTTCTTAACTCATTGGATCTGTCCCTAGCTTTAGTCCTTAACACGCATGCCCTCACCTTCTAAAAACGTTGCCCTCCAGGGTTTTGTCTTCAATATTTTTTAGATATACTTATTCTCCTTAGCTCACTAATTTGCTGGATAGGTATTACCTCAAATGTTGATGGCTCCCAAATCTTTATATTGTTTTATTCTGAGCAAAAGACCCCAATTCTCTGATGTCTATTGGGTGTACTTGCTCAGATAACTCACACAGACCTCAAATTCAAGGTATCCAAACCCGACACTAACAGGCCCAAATCCTGACCACCATCTTTTTCCAGGAAACCTGCTCCTTTTAACCTCCATTACTTACCTTGGTTACATATCAACATCCAACCATCATCCAAGCTGGAATCTTGAATTGTCTTCTTTACCTCTTCCTTCATATTGCATAGTCATAGTTCCCATGACTTTTAATTCTATTGCTAATATTTCTAACATTTATTCCTTTCTTTTGGCTGCTTTCAGATTCTCAAGGCTCACACAGACTTTGGCAATAAGTTCCTAACTGCTCTCCTGTGTCTTTTCCCCCCAGGTCTACATACTCACTGTTGGCTGACTTACATTCTCACGTTACCCTCCTTACTAAACACTGGTGATCACTCTGCACTGCTTACAGGTTAAGATTCAAAAACCCTAGCATGACTCTCTACACTCCAACCCCAACTATCCACTTTCCCCCAGTCAGCTCTTTGGTCCTACTTCCAAACATTCTTCCCACGTCTTACGCTTTAGCTAAATCTACTTTATTGTATTCAAAACATGCCGCTTACTTTTATGATGCCCTGCCTATGCTTGCGTGGTTACTTTTGACTAGAATGTGACTCATCCGCCATTCTCCTCTTGGTGAGCTCCCACGCATTTTTCAGCACTCAGCCAGGAGCCATCCTCAGCCTTCCTTGTTCCCTCCTGGAGTCTTTTGAACAGCCTTCATTTAAAGAATTTCTCACATTTTATAGCTAGACTAAGCTTTCTGAAGACCAAGTATATTTTATCCTAATATTACTTTATTTTGGGGCCTAGCACACCTTATGATATGCTATGCAATCATTCAAAATAACTAGTAACAATTCATGGCTCAGGTACATATTGCCTGCTTTGTTCAACACTGCATCTCCAGAACCTAACAGAGCAAACCCATTTGCTAAAGGACTAAACAAACACTCCTAACTCTCCTCCAGTTAGATAACAAATTTATGTTTTATTTCACCCTCTATTCTGCTTCAATACTTTTTCAAAAATGAACTTTCAAAAAAAGATTTTCGGAGGGTATGGGGGCTCATGGCTATAATCCCAGCACTTTGGGGGGTGAGGGCGAGAGGATTACTTGAGCCTGAATTCGAGGCTAGCTTGAGCAACACATGAGACCCTGTGTTTACAATTTTTTTTTTTTTTTAATTAGCTAGGTATGGTGGCGTATACCTGTAGTCTTAGCTACCTGGGAGGCTGACAAGGGAGGATTGCTTGAGTCCAGGAGGTTGAGGCTGCAGTAAGCTGTGACTGCCCCACTGCACTACAGCCTGGGCAACAGTGTATGACTCTCTCTCTCAAAAAACATACAAACAAACAAAAAACAAAAACATTTTTGGTTTCCTATTTATTTTGACACCAAGTTTTAATGTTCGTGCATATTGGTTTTCCAGAATATAATTATATTATTTCCTTTGGAAGATAAAATACAATGCTAAATAGCAACCAACTTGAATTTTCTCAGTGGAATTCATTTAGAAAATTAACTCTGCAAAAGCAGTGAAGACTGATGTCATGAATCTAAGGTTTTAGTACTAACTACCAGGCCACGCTGTCCCTTTCAAAGTTTCATCTGTGCACTATTATCTGCAACCAATCATGATGTCCTGTGCTTAAATATCTAATGAATACCCTTTAACTTGCAAGAATGACACCTAGGACATTACAATTCCCCATCTGGAACCGCCACAAGAACAAACACCTTCATCTTATTTCTCACCACTGTATTCTTTTGTATACAGCACATAGTAGTCACTCAAATTTTTGTTGGATGAATAAATAACCTGATAAATTTATTTCAATGCAGATGTTTCTTTAGTTTTTTTCTGGTGAAGAACAAGCTGCACATGAACTAAGAAAAAAAAACATAAGTCTTAATATTATCTATCAAAAACACATTACTTAGGCTTCAAATGAAATCAATTTTGATAAGTTTAATAAGAAAGCTTTTGATACTAAGGACTTAGAGTTATACCATTAGATTTGTTCTTGGCCCATATATGCCTCAAAAGTATACAAGCCATTTGTCTTCCAAATGCTTGATAAAGTAACCAAACAAAGGGCATCGTCTTCTGTGTGTCTATTTGAATGAGATGCTACAGTTTTGCCACTAGATTTAAGGCATAAGTCAAATGTGCCTTACAAACTATGAGTTAATTTGCCCACTTTAAGCGTCGTACATTTCCTTTTTGTTAATTAAATTTCTAGAAATTGCTTCATCAAAGTCCCTTTTACTTACTATTAATCTTTATCTGCGGTTACTCTCAAAGTTGACCTCTCCTATAGTACTGCATCAAGTGATTTGTCTGGGGCCACAGAGCTAGAGTTGGCCTGGTAGAATTAGAACTAAAAACTAGTCTTCTTAACTCCCTATTCAGAGCCTTTTCTAAAAAATCATGCTGCCTCATTAAAATATAATCCTTAAGATTACCTTAATAAAAATAGACATATAAAAGCTATGGGACGACAGGGCAAGGCCTACGCAAAATCAGAGAATACAGAGAGCAGCCAGAAGCCTTGTCGGGATCAATGGTATCAAGGCAGGAACTTTGCTTTGCTTAGAAAACAGGCAGGTTATCACTCAGCAGTCTTCCGCTGAAGCAGCTCTAACGCAAACGTAATGAATCATCTACTATAACACACAGGTTACCCGACTTGGGAGTCAGAAGGTCTGGATATATGCTCCAAGTCTGTATAAGCCTGAGAACAGGAGAAATTTCTGAGCCTCTCTATCTGTATAATGGACACCAGACTACCTAAAACATTGGGTTGTTAAGGAAAGTAAGTGGAATTTACTTGTCTCTTTGTAAAATACGTATTTCTTCAGCAAGTACCATATGACAAGCATTGAAGAAAGAAAGATAAGATCCCTGCCCCTCAAGCTCAGTCTAATATAATGTATATAAACAATGATAAAATAAACAAATTTACTATAAAATCCTTGAGCAGTTAGAATACTGGATTTTAAAATAGCTTATAATTTAAAAAGACTAAGACTGAATAGATCCTCACCCTAAATTCCAGGCTATATAATAATTTATACATTCAAATATCTTTGTGATATTTGTGGAAATAAGGCTTTCAGCTCTGCAACTTTAAATTCTAAAGATAAAAAAGGGTCTTAAACATCATTTAGTATAGTTTGTCTCCAGATGAGAAGTGTTTTCTATAATAGCTGCAACGGATGGTCGTGTACTCTCTGCATGGATGATCCTAGTGATAAGAAGTTCACTAAAATACTTTTCTGTTACAGATAGTATGATCTCAAGTGGGACCAATATTTTCCTCCTTATAACTTGGTCTTAGACTTAGCCTTGCACAGCTGAAGTTCTTATTTACAATCCTGATGAGGATCTGTAAACTTCCTGAAATAACATGGAAATTCTGTATTTGTGCACATTTTTCTTGAGAGAAGGTCCACAGTATTCTTTCACCAGATGCTCATTGTAGTATATGATAATACCCTAAAGAACTTCTGCTTGAAAAATGTAGCACAGAGTATAAGTCCACAATGAGATTCCTTCAGATATTTGAAGATGGACATCATATTTGCTATGAGCATGTTCTTCTTTAGGAGAAACACCTCTAATGGTTGAAACTGTTTGGCCTCCTGTTTGTCAGTGGCTCATGCAATACGACACACACAAATATATACAAAACTTCAGATGTGGTCTAAACCTGCATACATACAGTGAGATCATGGACTCTCTTTAGCTGAATGCCATACTTTCATGTCACATATATACATTTGGCTCATATTAATTGAACCTAGTCCTTTTAAAACCTAAATGCAGAGTTTTACCTTCAAATAGCATGTGTGAAAGTTACTAAACTGCTAAGTGTTATACAGATATGACACCATGAAGTCTGACTGCAGACTGGTAAGATTATTCTAAAGTCTGATTTAATTACTCAACGCATTAGCCATACTTTCTCACTTAGCATCACTTTCAAATTCAAGAGGCTAGCTGCTGTGAACCTACTCTGGTTTTGGGGGCCACCCAATTCAAGACTCATTCTTTGCTCAATTAAATTCTGTTAAATTAAAAAAATGAATAGACAAGTCTTCTAACCCTTTATTCAAATGGATAAAAATGTCAACCTGAAAAACTGAGAGCTCTGCGACTTGCCAGTAAAAACTTTCCTCCAGAGTGCCAAAGTCACTTAATTTTCTTTGACTGTAACTATTTAACTAATGAGAAAAAAAAATTTTGTTGCCTTTTTCTTTTTTGAGATGAGGTCTCACTATATGTTGCTCAGGCTGGAGTGCAGTGGCTATTCATAAGTGCCATCGTGGCTTGCCGCAGCCTTAAACTTCTGGCCTCAAGTGATCCTCCCGCCTCAGCCTCCCAAGTTGCTGGAATTCCAAGTGTAAGCCGCCATGTCCAGAATTTAAAAAAATTTTTAAGATTCAATTCATGTACAGCATCTCCAATATTACTTACGAAGTGCTATGTGTGTTGCATCCTCTAAAGGATAACCACGTTTTGCAGAATTGATGACACAGAAGCCAACAGAAGACATTGACTGCTCTCTGCAATGAAACGGAAAACACAAAAATTGCACTTCAAACATTTGTGATACATACACAACAATATATAACTAATTTCAAAATGCAGCTCAACTTCTCCTTGCCTCCCTCTTCCACAAAGCTACTATAATAGCTAACCCAATTGCACTACTCAATAATTATATTAATATACAATTTAACTGCCTTTGGAGGACATATATTACACATAAAAACTGAATAAAAATGGAAAAAGGTTAAATTCTCAAGTCACTTAAATCTATCCCATTATCCTGCTAAGCTTGAAAGAATAATTATATTATCAGGGTCCTCCTAAATCACCTTAGTTCCTTAAAATTTGACTTGCGTTGCTAGGTTTTTAATCTTTAAAAACTGGGGCCTTGATATTTAAAAGCGAGGGCCTTTAACAATGTACGATATGCCATGTCCCGGAAGTGAGTAGACCATACTTTGCCAGCTGAAGCACATTTCTGTAGCAGCTATAAAGGGAACTCTCGGCTGCTGTGCGGTAGCGGCTTTTATATTTAGGTCCCACTGTGTGAATGATGAACCGGGCAGCTAGATTGAATCCTTTTGTCAATTTGGCTTCACCTGTTCGGCAACCTGGAAACAATTGAAACATATATAAATTTAGAAGTATTGGGAAAACAAAAACAAAAAACAAATGAAAGCATGAAACAGAGAAAGTATTAAGAACTCTGAGAAATTTCTGTTAAACATACAGACTGAATACGGGCATTTCTTTCTGTTCCTTCTGTTCCCAAAATGACAGTAAAGCAATACAATAGACATTAGCACAGACAGATAAAGAGAAGGAGAAAGAACAGATAAACATCATCAAAATTTTGGAAGGCAGGTCAACTGACTAGTAACTGACTCAACAGAGCAGAGAAATCTAATTGCTTGCAGAAATGAGATAACTAATACGGAGTAAGCTGATCTGTACTGAAAAGCAGTGTGGGATATAAGACAGACTGCTGTGATTCAAATCCTGAGTTACCATGTTCCTGTTGAGACACACTGGGCAGGGGCTTGGCCTTGATGTAACTCCATTTTCTATTTAACAGTGATACTAGCAGTACATACTTCACAGAATTAAATGTTACTATATGCAAAGTGCATACGTGCATTAGCAATTACTGTTGTTATTACTAGAGAACGCTAAAAAGGCTCAGAAATTGGAGCCCTAAGTACTTATAAAGGCTATGCTGAAGTGGAACGTGGGACTAAAAACAGGAGGATCGGTTAAAAAGTTTATATAAAAACAGTCGAATCTACAACAATCCCTCCCCCAGCCAGCACAGCAAGGTGATTTTATTATTTTTTTTAACCACCAGAGCAGCAGGGAGAAAGTTTATTCACTGGAAATGCCTAACTAGAGAGTTTCTGGATTCCAGAATCCCGGGCACAGCCGAAAAGAGGGGATTTAGTTCAAGTATTATACTTAACAGTGAAAGTCTAGCCCTCTGCCCCTAAATGGCTTTCAAAAGAGACATCTAGGCTTAAACCCCTGGAGGATTCCTTTGTAAAAAATTGAGAGACCCAAACCAAAGGACCTACAGATTATGATAACTGGGGAACGCTCCCCAATAAAATAACAGGGCTCCTATTCTGTCATCTGCTTCAAGACCCACCAGGCCCACCTTTGTCCACTGTTACGAACTGAATGCTTGGGTTCCCTCAAAATTCCCATATTAAACTCTACCCGCTAATGTGATGGTGTTAGGAGGGAGGGTCTTTGGAAGGTAATTAGAATTAGATACGGTCATGAGGGTAGAGTCCTTATGAATGAGAGCTGAATCCTTGTAAGGGTCTCCAGAGAGCTGCTCCCTCTCTCTGCCACGTGAAAATATAATGAAAACTCAGCAGTCTGCAGTCAGGACCCTCATCTCGGATTTCCAGTCTCCAGAAGTTTCTGTTCTTTATAAGCCACTCAGCCTATGATACTTTGTTATAGCAGCCTGAACTTATGGATACACCCATGTGTACAAAGTTTCCCATGAACTTTTCAGTTCTTTCATCTTAAATCCAGCTAACACTTAAGGGTCACCAGAAAGCAACAAAAGCCTCTAACAAAAACTAAAAGGGGAGACTCAGCACATGCTCAAGAAGTAGACAACACAGGGAGGAAAACTGAAAACAAAATCAGAATGTCATAAAAATAGACTATTCAGAGAATAGGAAATGGCACTTATGTAACTGCTACAGCCAAGTGAAAAACATGACAGCAGAAATGAAAAGTTCAATAGAAGGGTTAAAACTAAACTTGAAGAAATCCCTCAGAAAATAAAACAAAAAGAAATTGAAAATAAGAGCTAAAAGATAAGAAAACTGAAGAATTAAGCAAGAAAATACAACATCCAATAGGATTTCTTCAGAGAGAATGAAGAATACAGAGGAAGGAAATTATTAATGAAATAAAACAAAAAATTTCCCGTAATGGAAAGACATGAGTTTCTAGAGTCAACTAACCCATAAAATACTCAAACCATATGAAGGCACATCGCTGTAAAATCTAAGAGCACTTAGAAACAAAGATGAGATCATAAACTTTCCAGAAAGAAACCAGTAACATACATTCAGGGATAAGACTAGCACAAAACTTCTCAACAGCACTAATCAAAGTAGAAAACAAAGGAGTAGTGCCTTCAAATTTCTGGAAAATGATTTCCAAACTAGAATTCTATTTCTGAGCACATTACAAATTAAGTATGAAGGTAGAAGTAAAATCTCAGTAGTTTTGCCCTATTGCATCCTTCTTTCAAATCTCCTGGTAGATTTACTCACAAAAATGAGAGATCCAATCCATCATACAGACAAAAAGATTTTCCAGGTTGATGTTAAAAAAAAGTTCAAGAACAATAACTGTGCAGCAGGAATACAGAACAGTCTAAAGAGGAAAGGGAGGTTGGAGGGTTCCAGGAGGGACTGTGGCAAGAAAAAAGTAGAATGGAAGGATCAAACTTTATCACTCCGATTAAGAGAGCCATCTTAATATGAGCAATGGCCCAGGTCTAACATGATACAACATTAAGACAACACAACATCACCTACGAAATATTTTAGCCAAAACTTGACTATTAGACATAATGTCAAGTTTATAGGAAATGCAAACTAAATGGCACCTCAAGTAAATCAAACAAATCTAGAAGGAGGGATATTGTGAAACTAATTGGCCTTGTTCACTCAACAAGTCAGTGTCATAGACAGGGGACTGTGCTGGATTACAAAATACCACACACACGGCTAGAGGCGGTGGCTCACGCTTGTATTCCCAGCACTTTGGGAGGCCAAGGAGGGCAGATCATGAGGTTGGGAGTTTGAGACCAGCCTGAACAACATGGTGAAACCCCATCTCTAAATACAAAAATGAGCTGGGTATGGTGGCACACACCTGTAATCCCAGATACTCAGGAGGCTGAGGCAGGAGAATCACTTGAACCCAGGAGGTGGGGGTTGTGGTGAGCTGAGATCACACCACTGTACTCCAGCCTGGGCGACAGAGCGAGACTCCATCTTGGCAAACTGACACAATAACAGAAAACTAAACACCGTTATGTTCTCACTCATACGTGGGTGTTGAACAATGAGAACATATGGACACAGGGAGGGGAACATCATACACTGGGGCCTGTCGGGAGGTGTTGGGGTTAGGGGGGGAACAGCAGGGGGTAGGGGGATTGGAGAGGGCTAACATTAGGAGAAATACCTCATGTAGATGATAGGAAGGATGGATGCGGCAAACCACCATGGCATGCGTATACCTTTGTAACAAACCTGCACGTTCTGTGCATGTACCCGAGAACTTAAAGCACAATAAAATAAAAATAAAACCCCCCACACAGAGACAAATTAATAAACATAACAAAAAGACGCAATGTATGGTCCTGGATTGGATACTGGTTTGGATAAACAGCTGCTGCAAAGGACATTTTTGGATCAGCTGGAATTTTAAGTATGGTCTGGGTAGTAGATGGATGTAATTTCTGAAATTAAAAGGTGGAATTCATTTGCTGAAGAAGGCAAACTCCAGAATATGTACATGACTATCTTATTTTGAGACTAGCATACACATAATTATTTTTTGGTAACAAACGATATAAGAATGTACGTATACACCCACACCCACATAGAGGTTTAAACAATAAACAAACGTCACATAAGTTTAGTTTCATAAAATTTCTAAATTCACAAAGTGAATATAAGACTGACTTTTTTCAGGGAGGAAATCTGGGTACAATAAGCCAACCCTGCCTGTTCTAATTTTAGTATCAATTCTTAGATGCTTAGATACTAACTGAACTGACATACAGTTTCATGTATCTTCTTATCAAGGATTCTATGAACACACCATGATTATCATTCTTCCTCTTCAATATGATCCTTTTTTAAGTATTTGAGAATAAGTAGTATGTTTTCCCCAAATATTCTGTTCTCTATGTTAACCCTAACTGTTTAAATCATTCCTTCAAATCATCTGGTTTCACAATGTTAGTAATTTTCTGTTAGGTGTGCCCCCCATTTATTACTTTTAAAAAGTAGTAATAAAAGACATACAGTTCTTGTCCATATGACAAGAGTTTATAGTTTAATCGGGATACACTTACTGTAAGACAATTTACAAGATTACAATTGTGATAAGCCAACAAGAGAGAAGTACTACAGGCTGGGAGCATATATTGTGGGTGGTCTCATCTATTATGAAGTAAAAAGAAACAGTGCTTTGAGGAAGAAAGGTAAGCCAAGACTTAAGAATAAGGGTTGACAACTGAAAGACCAACAGCAAGTGCAAAACTAGAAAGGAGCTTGGATGACAAAGCGGGGAGAAAAGATCAGTTTGACTAAAGCATGGAAAGGAAGGGAAATGGGGGCATGGGCTAAGCCTGGGGAAAAGTGACTGAGCTCTTGCAAGGCCATGGGGATCCGTTCAAGGAGTTTAGATTTTTAAGTTTAATGGGAGGCCACTAAATGGTCTGAAGGAGGGGAACCATAAGAAGAAGGAGTTTACACTTACTGGTTGTGTGTGGACAATGGAACGAAGAATGTATGTAGTGAGATCAGTTGGGAGAGAGGATATGGCTATAATGCAGGCAGGGAATGATGGCTGTATACGCTACCTGCTGGAGACAATGGTGACAGACGGAAATAGATTTAAGACTAATTTAGGGCATGCTGATAGACTTTATGTGAGGGATAAGAAAGAGGAAACTGTGAACCCTAAGGTTTCTTGAATGAAAAATGAAATGGGAGGCTGGGTGTGGTGGCTCATGCCTGTAATCCCAACACTTTGGGAGGCCGAGGCAGGCAGATGAATTGAGGTCAGGAATTCAAGACCAGACTGGTCAGCACAGTGAAACCCCATTGCCACTAAAAATACAATAATCAGCCAGGCGTGGTGGCACATGCCTGTATTCCCAGCTACATGGGAGGCTGAGGCAGGAGAACTGCTGAAGCCTGGGAGATGGAGGTTGCAGTGAGCCAAGATTGTACCATATAAAAAAAAAAAAAAAAAAAAAAAAAAAAAAGAAAGAAAATGAAAAATGGCATGGAAAATAATGCCCTTTTACTAAGACATGAAGTATTGTTAAGCTAATGATGTTTCCCTGTCATTTTCAACTTATTGTAAGACTGTAATATTCATCTGTTAATTTTTTCATTTTCTGGCTTATAGTTCCAGTGACTTAAAAATCTTTAGTCTGTCAACCTCAGCTTCTCAGCTTTATATCATCTACAAATTTGGTAAGCCATGCTTGTTTTTATTAAGTCATTAATAAAAATGTATAGAGAGGAGAGGAGTAAGTATGCAGCCCTAAAGTTTGGCACTGATTCACTTCACACGCAACTGGGGCCTAACAACTAACACTAGAAATAATACTTGTTGAACACTTAGGGTGTGCTTAGCACCTAACGTCCATTATGTAATTTAGTCTTCAAGATATTAATTTTTCCCGTCGCCAAATATTTATTAAGTTTTTGCTAGATGTCCGGAACTGAGGTTGGAACTGCTATTACCATCCCCATTTTAGAGATGAGGAAACTCAGAGGTGAAGTAATTAGTCTTAAGTCACACAGTTAGTAAAGGGCAGAGTTATAATATGAATCCCAGTTTGGAGATGCTCAGACACACCCAGTTTAATATTGACATTTTACTTATACACGTCTGTTAAATTTTCTTCTTCCTTATTATCTGTAAGTCTAGCTCTAAGGTATATGTAAGCATTCACACGCAAGCCATTAGGAATTCTTCCAGACCAGCTTCTCTTAATTTTACCAAACAACTTGTCAGGATTATCTTTAATATCGTTCTAGTTTCTACATGTCCTTCATGGTCTCTTGTTTTGCAGCTTAGTTAAGACCATTTTCTCACATTGTCCTTATAGGCAAAATTCAGTTTCTGGATCAAAAAATGCAATTCTTCTCATTCTATCTCTTCTTTCACGGAGTCAGCACTGTAAGTATTCTTGTTCAAGTTCTATTATTTCTATTAGGTTAGAAACCAGTTGCCGGTGTGAAATGACAGAAGGCAAAGAAAGCGAGATTTTATACAGGTTAACTTTGCTGTTTACGTTTTAAGAAACATTGCTATAGTTCATAAATACTTTCTATACAATGGGAAGGCTGAATTTCACAGTATTTCATTTGGGCTCAAGTAACAAAGGGGTGCAAGATTGGTACTTTAACAGTTTTTCAGATCAAGAGGACAGTATTTTACAACGCTTTTCTTGCAGCTTCTGTGCAAGAAAATATGTAGCCACCAAAATGCTACCGAAACTACCTAGGTACAATGAATGCCATTTAAAATTCAGGACGGGACAGAAAGTTTTATTGGTAGCAAATTCTCAGGACTCAGTTTTTAACACGGTTCAAAATGTAATAAATTTTGTTAAAATGGAGCTTTCCAAAGCAGCTTTTATTTTGTTTCAATCAAAGAAAAATGGTTACATCCACATAATTTTCCCACAAAACAGGCCTCTTCAAGGCAGAGGACATTAAAACACAAGTTTCCTAAGCAATAATATACCAAAGAAAATTCACTCACCTTTAAGTTTCTGGAGATCTTCCTTCAAATCAGGCCCCGCAAGCATGAAGATACTTTCTGACACAGGATTCTTATCTGTGAGGCTTTCATTGCTGGTGTTCACAATGGCTGTACAGTTCAGTAACGCCACATCTCCTTTCCTGAAGAAACAATAAAGAACAAACAAGTGTGGGGAAGAAGAAGAAATCTGGTTTCTAATTATTTCAAAACATTTTATCCTTGACTTTTTTCATAATGTTGGTTTTGCTAGCTCACAAGCCAAGCAATAGTAGAAAGGACTATCTGGAATCTTAGATCTTTAATGCAATTGTTATAACCATGAAACTCACAAAACCACCATGTTTAGAAATAGCAGCATTATTTATATAACAGCCAAAGAGTGGAAACAATCCAAATATCCATCAACTAATGAACTGATAAATGCGGTATACCCATACAATGGAATATTATTCAATCCTAAAAAAATAAAGTACTGATTTGTACTACGATGTGGATGAATCCTGAAAACATTACGCTGTCACAAAAACCCACAAATTTTACTGTGTTCATTCTATTTACGTGAAATGTTCAGAACTGGCAAATCTATAGAAACAACAAAGTAGATTAGTGATTGCCTAGAGGGATTAAGGAAAAACAGGGAGTGACTGCTAATGGGGCTTTGGGCTGATGAAAATGTTTTAAAACTGACTGTGGTGAGGATTCTGCAACTCTAGAATATACTAAAAATCACTAGATTGTGCAATTTGAATAGATGAATTATATCGTATCTCAACGTCTCAATAAAGCAGCTTTTTAGAGCAATGAACTACTACTGATACACACAATAACACAGATGCACTTAAATCATTCTGCTGAAAACAGACTAAAAGGCACACAATTCATTAAATAAAACTCTAGAAGATACAAACTAACCTACAGTGACAAGAAGATCAGTGGTTGCTTAGGGATGGGGAGGCAGGGAAGGGCAGGAGGGAGGAATTACAAAGAACAGAAAAAAACTTTTGGAGGTGACAGATAAATTCACTATCTTGACTGGTGATGGCTTAGTGGATGTATTAACATAAGTCAAAACTTATATACTTTATGTAGTTTATTAAATATCAATTATACCTCAATAAAGCTGTACATGTATATGCAAAGCTATACTTCGACAATGCTAGGGCTTAAAGAGGTTACAATAAATTATGAGAAAATGTTATCTCCTCATATGATTCCATCAAATAATTACCAAAGAACTACTTTCCCATTGATGTCCTTATTATAAAGAAAAGGTGATCGAACAGTGTCTTCCTGAAATATCTCAGCTGTGGTATCAGAGGAATTGAATTCATCTTCACATGAGTCACCCCAGCTTGGTAGTGTATCCACATCCACAAATTGGGAAGGTGCACCTAAGGGATCCATGGAATGAGAACTTTGATTTGTCTTTTCCCAAATTCCTCAGCAGTTCAATATTCACTGGAGACTTTAGCTTAAGAGAAAAGAAAAAATCATTTTAATAGAGAAGCACAGGTATTACTTGACTTCTACTAAAGCAGTAAACAAAATTCCACTGTGAAATACCCCAATAGTAGACTGTGTGATTATAGTCACTTAAAAAGTCCATTAAAAACAATGGACAACAAAGAATTGCTACAACATTCCTAAAACAGGATTAAAGAGTGATTATTTAAGCATTAATTCTTTTTAAAGAGTTACAGCCATTAAAATAATCACATGGCCCATCAATTCTACTTTCCAGAAATAGGACTATTCATTCAACATTCACTGAGTGCCTACTATTGAAAAAACAAAAAGTGACAGATACTGCAAGAGATACAAATATAAATAGTATATAAAGTCTGATGATAATGTGGAAGATGTACTAGGTACGACAAAATGAGAAGCAGGAGGTTACTGCAATCGAGTAGTAAGAGATTCTAAAGGTTTCAACTAGGAAAGGAGAAATAGAAACAGGCACACATCTAATAGGCAAAATACAAAGGAAGGATGAACAGGAGCTGACAATCCCAGTGATATGGTAGGTGGCTGATTGTGCTGAAACACTGACATTAGAAGAGGAGGGTGTTGGAAGACATACTGTCAAGCACTAGACAGAAGTCATGGGAAATTCTTTGTTGCCAGAGAAAAGGAGAACCAATTTGCCTATGAGTCAAACAGCTATTTCAGTAAAATGGTATATTCATTCATCGAATAAATCTTTGTATCACGCCATTGCAATCCAGCCTGAGCAACAAGAGGAAAACTCCATCTCAGAAAAAAAAAAAAAATCTTTGCAAGCATCCATTATATGTTAGATACTATTGCAGGCACTGGGAATACACTGGTGAAAAGAGCAAGTCCCTGCCCTTAGGGAGCTTATGCTTCCATGGAGACGACAGAAAATGGTAAATGATAAAGAAAGAAGCAGGTATCTAACAGAATGACTAGAGGAGATATGGGTTATGAGAGAACGGGTACCACCTGAGTAGAAAGATACAATGAGAGAGCAAGTCTTGTGAAGCTCGGAAGGATGTTTCAGGCAAAGGCCAAAAAGGCAGGAAGATCTTGGTATATTGCAGGACAAGCAAGGAGGTCAGTTTAGGTAGAGCTGAATAAGCCACGTAACGAGCGGTAGATGATGAGGTGGGTACGAGAAGGAACGGCCGGAGGATACAGTGTGTAAGCCATGGTAAGAAGCTTAAATCTTATTCTAAATATTAGGGGATGCTATTAGAGGATCTTGTTCATGGCAATTATTAAACATAAATAATATTTGAAAAGAATACTCTAGCTACAATGAAACTGAGAAAGGGCAAGAGTAGGTGCACAGACCAATAGAAAATGACTGCAGTAATTAGGTGAGATGGTAGTGATAAGAAACATTAGATTCGGAACGTATTTTGAGGATGGAGTCAACAAGACTTAATGAATATAGACAGTAGGGAGAAAGAACAGAACCAAAGATAACTTTTGGATTACTTGCTTACACAATTGAGTAATGTTATGCTACTTACAGAGAATGGGGAAAATTAGAGTAGGTTGTAGGGCAGTGTGATAACCAACGGATTTTCTTTTTTTATGTTTTTTTGGGTGTGCTAAGTTTGAGATGCTTGTTTGATGACCAAGAGTTTATGTCAAACATGCAAATTGGTTATATGAGGCTAGGGCTCACAGAAGATGGGCCTAAAGATATAAATTTGGAAGTCTCGGCATATAGCTGGTATTTACAGCTATATGAACTGGACAAGACAGCCTAGACAGTAAATGCAACAGAGAAAAGAGATCCAAGGACTGAGTCCTACAACAAAACCTAGAGGTTGGAAAGAGGACAAGTCAGAAAGTAAAACAGAGAAGGTCTGCTAAGAAAGGAAGGCAAACCAGGGAAGTGTGGTAGCCTAAAAACCAAGTGAAGAAAACATTTCAAGGAATACTTGAGATATCAGTTAAATGCTACTGAAAGGTTGAGAAACAGGGCTAAGAACTGATTAACGGGTTAATAAGCTGGAGGTTGTTGGTAACATGAAATACATAAGGGCAGATAGATGATCAGGGAAAGAAAGTTGGCATGTGAACTTTTTTCCCTCCAAATAAATGTGCAGTTTAATGAGCTATTATAAAGGAAACAACCAGCCAAGTCAGGAAATAGAATTGTGCAGGCCCCCAGAGATACCTCCATGTGATCTGTCATGATCTGAACCCCTCCCTGTCCCTAAGTAACTACTACCAGGACTTTTAACCACTTTCTCATATACTCATATAGCTTTTTCACCTCAGTGTGTATCCCCAGAAACCATAGTTTAATATCAGCCATTTAACACATTTCCATGTATATCTTATATCTCTTTTAATCTACAAGTCCCCCATCCAACCTTTCCTTTTTTGTAAAATTTATTTGCTGAAATGGTAGTGTCCACAGTCTGGATTTTGTTGATTGCATATTCATGCATGTTTCAATAAGTTTCTCTGTTATTTGAAAATTTCTTGTCAGTAGTCAGTTCTGCCAAGATTGTATGAGATGGTGTGTCTTTTATCAGGAGGCACATAATTTCAGATTCTCTCTTCTTTTCTTAGTTCTTTCTTTTTTTAACTTTTAGGTTCACGGGTACATGTGCAGGTTAGTTATATAGGTAGATTGCATGTCAAAGGGGTCTGGTATACAGATCATTACATATCCCAGGCAATAAGCCTGGGATCGTCTCCATATTCCCACCTTTCACCCTCAAGTAGGTCCCAGTGTCTATTGTTCCCTCCTTTGTGTCCATGTGTTCTCACTGCATAGCTCCCACTTATAAGTGAGACCATGCAGTAGGTGGTTTACTGTTCCTGCATTAGTTTGCTTAGGATAATGGCCTCCAGTTCCATCTATGTTGCTGCAAAGGACATGATCTCCTGAAATTTTTTGAGAAGTTTTTCAGTATGGTTCTAATGTTTTTTATCAAAGAGAACAAGCATGCCCTTCCATAATATGTTCCGTGATGTTTCCTGCTGAGAGACATGGGACTCTAATTGGAACAAAATATGGATCTAGTGTAATATGCTAATTTCTGAATCAACACTGTGGAACAGGAAATGGGATCATTTATATAACAATTTCAGAAAGGCCTTGTAGGGTATACAATGATAAATCTGTATGAGAAGACTATTCTTATTTGACACTAAATACACCTCTAAAATTACTTTGAAATAAAGAAACTAACTTTACCTAGAAGTTGGTGTTTAGTCCATCAAATTGGCCTTCCCACAAGTTTTGTTGATCTGTTCGTAAGTATTCAGACTTGAAATAGACAAGCTGAACAGAGGACAAGTGAAGACCATATTCATCTATCATCCTTAAATTGCCTCATGCTCAATGGAATGACACTTGGCACAAGTTCATAATTTCAAAAAATTATCTGCAGATTTTTTATGGCAATGACTCATACTGAAAGTTCTTAATTTAATTATAATCTTAAAAAAAAATCCATTAAACACAAACATAGTTTTCAGTTTCCAAACTTGAATGCCAACTTTCAGGACAAAATCGCTTTTTTAAGATAACTTTTCTTTCTGACTCTAAGTAATACATGCTTACAGAACATTTGAAAAATACCAAATTGGCTGGACACAGTGGCTCACACCTGCAATCTCAGCACTTTGGGAGGCTGAGCCGGGCAGATCACTTGAGCCTGGGAGTTTGAGACCAGCCTGGGCAACTTAGTTAGATCCCATCTATACAATACTACAAAAGATTAGCCAGGTGTGGTGGCATGCATCAGCAGTCTCAGCTACTGAGGTGGCTGAAGGAAAGAAAAGAAAGAATTTTGGTTTCTTCTTTTAAGGGGGAGGAAAAAATTCCTCAACTTTTGATGTAGTTACTACCTTTTTCTGTGATAGGTAAAATCACACTGACACAATTTTGAATCCAGCTTCTTTAGTATTTTAAGGTAACTATTTCCACATGCAATTATGCCGTGAGGTGGAGACAGCAGGGTTCAAGGTGGGAGTCTGGACTGTTGTCATAGGGTCAGAGTTTGGATCCAGGACCATCACTTAACAGTTGTGTTATCCTTGACTCTAAAGCAGTTTTTTTTTTTTTTTTTTTTTTTTAAGTTTCTAAAATAGGGGTAATTCTCCTAAGATTATTGTGAGCATTAAATGAGATAAGTAGTGTCAAAACTGCATGGGAGAGCAATTACCTTAACTTCTCTCCAATTCAAAATCATTCACTGTTTCCAACTTACAAGTGATTTGAGGGTATATTTCACACTTTTAAGCCTGCCAAATCACCTTAATTTAAGCAATTTCCTTCATTTGACCATTTCTCCTCATAAGAGAGTGTTATAACACAAATTCCCCTTTTACAATTTCATCTTGCTTTTTCCTTTCTCTCCATCCTCCTGTTCTCAGAAAAGTTCTCCTCCTTTATTTCTTCTGCTTCATTTCTTCTTCAGCATATTACACTCCTCTTTCTTTTCCTACTTAACTTTTTAAGGGTGATTTGTTTTGCAGCTCTGCTTCCTCTTCACACATTTGCTCAACCTGCTGCAGTTTGGCTTCCGCCCTATGGGCATGCTAAAACTGCTCTTCCAAAGGTCAGCGGTGACTTCCCAGACGTCAAATCTAAGAATTCATCCAACTTTATCCACGTTTATCGCTGACCATTTCCTTCTCAAAACTCTATTATCTTCTTGACAGCACACCCTGGTGGTTCTCCTATATCCCTGATCATACCTGGTCAGTAGAATCTGTTGGATCTTTTTCCCAGCTTTTAAGTAATTGTGACCCACAAGATATTGGATGTTAAATAAGTAAAAGTAATGCTCATAGCTCTTACTGTAGGACAAAATTAAATGGCATTTTATGGAAAGTGTCACAGTATTTAACAAAAGTTGAATTCTTTTTCAACTCCATCTCTAAACAGAAATGGATGTTTCTCAACAAAAAGAGGTTTGAATCCCCCGCTCCCCTAAACACACACACACCTTGGTAATAAGTAAATGGAGCCGCAAACCCAAACGAGGCAGGAAAACCTGATCCCTGAGAGAACAGTGGTTTTTAACATTCTCAACGTCACAGGCCCCTTTGAGAATCACATGAAAGATACAGATCCTTTCACTCCCCAAAACGTTTGTGTATGAGCTCATACAAGCAGATTTGTAAGTAAATTTCAGTTAAGAATCTCAGTGATGGAATGCAAACATGCTCAAGTGACAAAGAGAGGAGAAGATGGCTCCTCTACCCAGTAATTTATAGCCACAGCCAGAATTTTTGGCGACTTAAAGGAGAGCAAGACTGTCCACTGAAAATCCGCTGATCAGCTCTGTACTTTGAATAAGTTCATAAACAAACACTAAGCCCTAGTTTAAAAAAAAAAAAGTCTCTTGAAGCAAGATATTAATTTCCAAGGATTAAAAAGTCTATATGCGACAAACAGAAGATTCCATAATGAATCAGAAATACTTCATAGTCACATGATCTTCAGTACTTTAGTGAAGAGGACCTAAAGACAAAGATAACCCACTATGTATCCTTTATAATTCAAACAGTACAGTGTAAACAGCTCTCATTATACTATACCTTCTGTCTCCTTTTCCTGAAATCCTGTCATCTTATAGTTTAAGAAGTCCTTTAAATACTGCTTAATATGAGTAATTGGATTGGCTAGAGAGATCAGATTGTATTGTTCAAAACTGGGCAAAACTGCATAATATCTTGGATCACTGTCTCAAAAATCCTTTTCGTCTGAATAAAAAGAAAATGATATCGTTTAAGAGAGAAAAATGGTAACTTTTAACCTGTTTACCTTTCGAAATGCTTACATTGATCAGACCAGTCTGAATAACAACCGTACAAAGAGAGCTGCTGCGTGCACTTGACCACCATTAACTACCAGGTTTACCATTCTTTATGTCTTTGTATTTCAATATTTAACAGTTCAGAGTACATTATGTGTGTACATTACAAGTATGTTTGCACACCATACTTAAGACTCGTTTTATGCCATCATCCAACACCGTACTTAAGAATCATTTTATGCCATCAGAAAGAATGACATTTATATGGTTGGGCGGGGTGGCTCATGCCTGTAATGTCAGCACTTTGGGAGGCCGAGGTGAGTGGATCACCTGAGGTCAGGAGTTCAAGACCCGCCTGACCAACATGGTGAAACCTAGTCTCTACTGAAAATACAAAAATTAGCTGGCCATGCCTGTAATCCCAGCTACTCAGGAGGCTGAGGCAGGAGAGTCTCTTGAACCAGGGAGTTGGAAGCTGTAGTGAGCCGAGATCGCGCCACTGCACTCCAGCCTGGTGACAGAGTGAGACTCTGTCTCTTTAAAAAAAAAAAAAAAAAAAAAGGTGGGGAGGGATAGCCTGGGGAGAAATGCCAAATGAGGGTGAAGGGGAGAAGGAAAGAAAAGCACACTGCCATGTGTGTTCCTACGCAACTGTCTTGCATGCTCTGCTCATGTACCCCAAAACCTAAAATCCAATAAAAAATAAAAAAAAAAAAAGGCTCTTTAAAAAAAATTTTTTTTGATTGGAAGACTAACTGAAGTAGTCAAATACGTCAACAATAAATACAGCATAAGAACATTCCTAAGCTTGTCAATGGCCTGGGTCAAATTTAACATCACCATTCAAAAGCACCCAAAGAACATGTTCTAACAGTGAAGTAGTACTATCCCTTCATGTTGAATGAACTGCATTATGCTGTAATTGTTAAGTATTGACACACGGAGCATTCTGAAACTGAAATAAGGAGACAGAGTTACAACTTTGAAATACTGTATAAGGAATTTTATAAGATGCATTACCTTAGCACTCACAGTTACTCTGATACCAACTCTTATTAAAATCATTTTTTCCATCTGTGGTTGTCCCATCCCATAATATTTAATTATGTTAAGAAAAAATTTTAAGAAAAGGTAAAATCGTGACTCATTCAAATATAAAGCCAAACCCAAGTTCAATATTTTATTTAACTCAAAAGGGCACCAGGCAGAAGATAAAGCACATCCCACAGACACCTTAGAGCAGAATATCGAAATAAGTGTGTAAAAGGAAGCAAAACTTCCACTGAACCTCTGAGAGAATTTGCAGCAGTTGACAAAAATTATTCAGCTTTGATGTAAGTTATCTACAGTTTACATAACTGAAAAATAGCTTTTTTAGAATTAATAAAAGGGGTGTTATTAAGATAGAATCTAAACTGTGCCGTTTTCTACTGAAGCACACATTTTACCCCCATAATAATATAATGCACAACACCTGTCAGGGATATTAACCATACACACCCACTCAAATGCTCCCTTTCCCACCAAACTTCTTAAAATAATAGTTTGTGGTCACAATTTCTTCCCTTCTCATTCATCCAGTCCACAGCAATCTTGTTCCAAAACACCTACGGAGCTACAGCCGCCCAGTCTCATCACACGCATTCTTTGCTGTTGCCATTTTCTTGAAAACGGAAGATTAGCTGATCACGCCTTGAGCTCAAGAAACTCTAAAGAAAATCAGACAATGTAGGCCGAAGTCGAATTTCTAGGCTGGCTGCAGACAACTTGTTCAAGAAGCGCTGGCAGGATCTTCTTTTGTGCTGCTATGTTAGCTTTAAGTCTGCACAGCTCTAGACATCAGAACTCATTTCTAAACACTTCTATGCAGCCCAAGAATAAAAGTAGCAGAACTGCAAGAGAGAAAAGCGAATTCCCCACCTGGTGACAGAGCCCTGAAGTCTCGGTCAGCAAACAAGGAGTCAGCCCCGGTCACTTCCCCTCAAGCGGCCAGAGAGCGGAAACACGAAGCCAGGCCAGTGTCCCTCTAAGGACTGCGGGAACCCAGGCAACGCACCATGCTGGGCTCAGCGTCTACCCACCCCTTACCTGGGGTGCTCTCGGTTCCGGGAATGTCCAGTCCCCAGGAGCGGCAACAGGGACTTGTCTTTGGGGCTACAACCAGCCAGGGCTCCCGCCTCCCCTATTTCACCTGCACCCTAGGGCGCGCGCCTCCTCGGCTGGAGCACCTCTGTCCCTAGTGCCTGCTGACTGCCTACCCTTTCACTTCTCGTCGACACGGCGACCCCGACAACGCTCGGCAAGAACCTAACCAACAGGCGAGGAAGTGGCGCCAGGCTCATTCTTCCGGAGAAGCGACAGAACTAACCCTCAGCCCGCACTCCGGGCCAGGGCCGAGTGCGGTGCGCCCAGGGCCGCGCCCCCGGCCCTCTCCGCCCCGCCTTCCCTCCCCCTCCCGGCCTCCGTCCCGCCTCTCACAGCACTCTGGCGGTCCCATCCGGTCGGCGGGCGGGACGGATCAAGCTCCTGGTAGAAGGCGGCCGAGCGACATCTCCGGCGACCCTCAGCAGGAGCGCGCCGGGTAGGGCGAGGCAAAGTCCCTGGAGGCTGGAGTGACCAGCTACAAATGCTCTGGGCTACGAAACACCGGCTTCCGCTCCCGGCCAGAGCTCACCAATCAGCGCCCGGCTTTTTCCGTCATTTCCTCCTAAGAGGGCAAATGGAACGTCTGGCGGAAGAGGCTTCCGGAACGGACCCGGAAGGGGCAGGTCTCGTGGGGTCCAATCGCCTGGGAGCCTCGTGGAAGCTGAGGTGAGTCCTGGAGGTGCACGGCGGGGTCTGAGAGCCTTTCTCTGCGGTTTGGCCTTTGAAGAATCTGGCTGAGGCATTCGTGATGTCGGCAGCAGCCGAGGCGGGCATATTTAGGGCCGGTTGCTAGGGTTGGGGGAACTCAGGTGACTACGGGCGTCCCCACAGCAGTACTTGGAAGCCCCTTGGCTACTCGGCGCGGGTGGCGGGGGCTGAGCAGAACTGCCTGACCGTGCGTGTGCACGAGCTTGCCCGAGGGTGATCTGACCGTGAGTTCGGTGTCTGGAACCCTCCGTCACCCTGTCCTGACCGAAGACGCGTTTTGGAATGTGTGTCAAGTCTGTCCAGGCCTTCAGTGCATCACTGAAACATCGTTTTGGGGGCTGTGGGTTAGTAAGCGGAGGTGATGGGGTCTCAGTCTACGAAGGTTTCGTGGTGAGTTGTTGGAAAGGAGGCGAGAGCTGTGCACGTGGAACAAACTGAACAGTGCGGGTCGTATGAGAGGTAGTTTAAATATCGAGGCGATGAAAAAAGGCTTCGAGAATTGGGTTTACTCCAAGGGAAGTGGGCTTCAGAGAATAACACTGATTAAAATAAGTAGGGGAGAAAATGCATGTTATTTTAAGTAGAACGAATAATGTGAAGACAACGAGGTCTCAGGACGAGGAAGGAAACTAGCCAGCCTGACAGGAAGGTTTATTCGAGAAATACGGAGGATAGATAGGATGAGTTTTTGGAAACTGGCAAACGATTTAGCCTTTTCAAGTCTTTGGGATAGGGAAAGCTCATGTGAAAAGGTTGCTCAGTAGTATTATGACTTTTAAATGAAAACAGTGAAAAACATGGAGGCGGAGGTGCTAGGTGAAAAATCAGTGCAGTAACCCAGTGATAAAGAGCTGGAACTGAAAGTACTGGAGAAAAAGGGATCCTGTTTCAGAGTAATAATAAGGCGGAGTTGACTAACTAAAGAGGCAAAAAGAAGAAGTTTAGCATAGTGGTTAAAAGCAGAAATTTTGAAATTAGACTGGCTGGATTGGGATCTGGCTTTGGCAATTAGCTGCTAAATGACTTTGGGTTAGCAGTTTACCATCTCTGGGTCTGAGTTCCTTGTCTGTAAAATAGAGATAGAAAGAGTGACCTCCCTTGCAGTGTTATTGTGGAGAATTGGTTTATTTATTTTTAGAGACAGAGTCTCACTGTCACCCAGACTGGAGTGCGTGATCATAGGTCACTGCAACCTTGAACTTCTGGATTCAAGGGATCTTTCTGCCTCAGCCTCCTGAGTTTGCCACCATGCCTGCTTAATTTTTTCAAAAAGTATTTTGTAGAGATAGGGTCTTGCTGTGTTTCCCATGTTGGTCTGAAACTCTTGACTCAAGCCATCAGCCTGCCTCAGCCTCCCAAAATGATGGCATTACAGGCATAAGCCACCACACCAGGTCCTTATGGGTATTTTTTATAGTTATATTTACAGTGAGAGGCTTTTCTAAGTGCTTTGCATATATTAGCTCATTTCATTAATTGCTGTATGTAATTAAATGATTGCATATGTTTACTGAGTTATATACATTTAATGTTATCAGTTATTGTAGCATAAGCACTCTGTAAGTCTTGGCTGCTATATTATTATTTTTTCTTTTTATTTTGTTTTTTGAGACAGAGTCTTGCTCCATTGTCAGGCGCCAGGCTGGAGTGCAGTGGCGCAATCTCGGCTCACCGCAACCTCTGCCTCCTGGGTTCAGGCAATTCTGCCTCAGTCTCCCACGTAGCTGGGACTACAGGAGCGTGCACCGTGCCCAGCTAATTTTTGTATTTTAGTAGAGACGGGGTTTCACCATGTTGTCCAGGATGGTCTTGATCTCTTGACCTCATGATTTGCCTGCCTCGGCCTCCCAAGGAATATTTTTTGAATCATTAATTCAAAGGTTATTAAGTGTTTTTGAGCCCAAGTAGGTAGGAAAATTGTGTCGTTGTGTCAGACAAAAAGAGAGAAGTACCAGAAGTGAGGTAGGCTTGGTTATAGACATGTTAAATGTGAAACTATAAGGTATCAAATGGAGATGTTCAGTAAATATTTGAAACTCTATAATTAGTATTCATGTAAGTGGACAGGACTGGAAATAGACAGATGGGAGTCCCTGGACCTACTCATGCTATATGTATTCTCCAAGGAAAATACTATAGAAGGAGGTGGTAGATGGCCAAAGACAAACATGAACAACTACAGCGTCTGGAGGAATAAGAGGAATTGGGAAACAATTCACATTCCATTTGAAACAATTAATCAAATGGTCTAGGCTAAGAACATTATCACTATGTTAATATTATCTTTCCTTAGAGAGTTGGCATTCAAAATTTTTTTGTTAAAGTAGACTAAAACAGCATTTGATAATTAGAAAGACCCTGTAGAGTTATACCAGCCAACCACCAAAGAAGCAAACAACAGCAAAAAGAAACAGCTCCTCATAAAAGGCTGTAACTTCTTTATTTTTGTGTGTTTTAAGTTGCATGGGTGTTTTGGAGGCTACTTTTTACTCTTCCATGTAAAGAACAACAGGACTGATTTGTTATATCCTTGATTCGCCTCTTGTCCCTTTTATCCATAACCAGTATTTTCAGCGAATTTAATAAATGTGCAGAAATAATGGCATCTTTCCAAAAATACTGTGCCAAGTTGCTCAGCCATTTTCTGTGCCAAGGGTAAGTGGCTGCTCTGATTTGAAATGGAGGACAGACTTTCATGGACTAGAACAGTAGTTCTCAAAGTTTGGTCCAGGAACCGCAACAGCAGCATCACTTGGAAACTTGTTAGAAATGAAAAATCTAGGCCCTGCCCCAGACTTATGAAATCAGAAACAGGTACTGGCAGAAGAGATGAGATGGTATTTCCTAGCAATGTTGTTATAAGCCCTCTAGGTGATTTAGGGATTTTGCCTTATTAACAGTATATTTCCAGTGTCTAGAACGGTGCCTAAATGGTAGGTTCTCAATAAATGTTCATTGAAAAATATGTTCAGTTTCAGGCTACCAATCTCTGTGTAAAAGCTTTGATGCCATTTGAATGGGCAGAAGTGAATTAGCTTAGTTGCATTGAGTCTATAGTGTCAGCTATGCATGAGGTAGGCATGACAATGAGACTAATTTGGAAGTTAAGGAATGAGGGATTATACTGAGTCCATGTGAATAAAGAGTGAAGATGTCCAGGTGTTTTACGTCAGTGATTTATTCAGAGTAAGTAAGTATTAAGAAGTCACAAGTTACATGCTTTTAATGACATGATAAACAGTTGGTGTTGTTCAAACGTGGTGGTTAATGCTTGTAATCCCAGCACTTTGGAGGGCTGTGGTGGCTGGATCACTTGAGGTCAGGAGTTTGGGACCAGCCTGGCCAATATGGTGAAACCCCATCACTACAAAAAAAAAAAAAAAAAAAAAAAAAAATTAGACAAGTGTGGTGGTGCATGCCTGTAGTCCCAGCTACTTGGGAGGCTGAGGCAGGTGAATCACTTAAACCTGGGAGGTAGAGTCTGCCGTGAGCCGAGATCCCGTCACTGCACTCCAGCCTAGGCAACAGTGTGAGACTCTGTCTCAAAAAAAAAAAAAAAAAAGAGTTGGTGTTTACGAACCTAGTAAAACCAAGGCACCCAAGGGACTGAGTTTTCTTTGTTTATATGCACAGATTGCCTCAGCTGTGGTATCAGACATCATAACATGGGGCTCACCAAGCAGTACCTGCGCTATGTTGCTAGTGCAGTCTTTGGCCTGATTGGCAGCCAAAAAGGTAATATTGTCTTTGTGACACTTCGTGGTGAGAAAGGACGCTATGTGGCAGTGCCAGCTTGTGAACACGTTTTCATCTGGGACTTAAGGAAAGGAGAGAAGGTGAGCCCAAATGACCAGTTTGATACTGACTTATCCGTACTTGAGGGTAGAGAGGTGGGAGCGGTTGGGGAGCTTTGATTTATTTATCATGGCCTTTTCTGTGTGCGTGCCCTTAGAACAGGAATCTTTTCCCTTTGGGTCTAGCTAACCAAGCATCAAGTTCCTTTGTGTTCTTCTCCACTAAATTCTGAAAACCGCAATGAAAAAGGAGCTTATTCCTTAGATGTCTATTTGTTGGAATATTTACAGGTCATTATTTGTAGGAATTATTTATTCCTGACGTATTCTCTACCAATTCTATTTTTCAAGTTCGACTTACGCATATAACTGATGATAAAATATTAGCCATGTAAGAGGAACGTTACTCTATGTTGGCAGAATCTTTTTCTAATGTGGGTAAGGCCCAAATCTTGTTGAACTAGACTTTAATGCTTTGTATGACTGAATTCCCTAAGCCTACCACTTTTGCCAAACCAAATATAGGCATTTTGATATTGTTCATTTATTTTGTGATTCCCAAGAGGTTAATACTTCAGTTCTTGTTGCCACCCAGAGTCCTTTGTGGTTAAAACCCCCATAGTACTCTGTTGCCTTGCATATTATTTTCCTACAAAATGGGTCTCACTGAGTTAAAGGAAGGATGGGTTTATAACCCTTTATTGAAAATCACTTAGCGTTGTTCTAGGATTAACACTTAGATTAAAGGGATTACATTTATTTTATTGCCTAGGGAATGTTTGTATGTATTACACCAATG